TACGCTATTATTAGATTTGGGATAAATTATCAAGGCGGTATAAAGTGTGTAAATTTTACGAGATTAAAAGCATATTTTGAAATATTGAAAAATTTTAATTGCACACTTGATAATTATTATTTTAATTATTATTATTATTACTATTATTATTATATCGTTATTGTTGTTCTCATTATTATTAATTATTTTTTACTTGTAGGGATTTTATTTTCTTTTGGACATTGTGAAATTTTATTGATTGTGATATATGGTCGCAGGATTTGTATATTATTTAGTATTTAAAGAAAGAGAAAAAATTAATTTTTGAAAAGTGAATTTAATAAGGCAAAGATGTTAGGTGAAAACAAAAAGTTTGTTATATTCTTCCATGGAAAGTTTTGCCTTTCGAGTCTCATTGAAAAGGGATTCAATTAAAACTTTCTATCTTCAAATTTCTCTCTTCAACAAAAGTCGTGTGCTTGGAGCAGTTATTTGGCTTTACACGTGACACTTCGCATAAATTGATTTCTAACAAGAATTTTCCATGTTCTCTCTCTCTCTCTCTCTCTCTCTCTCTCTAAATTTGAATCGCACAGTTAAAAATAACTGCGAGGATAAATTATAGTCATTTTTCATATACCTCACACAGTCGGTATTTATTTATTTAGTTTATTCTTTCTACTGACTTTAGTTTTTTTTTTTCTGCATTCACATCACTAAACAAAAGGTATTTTTTAAAAAATATTTTCACACTGTTGTAGAATTAAAATTTTTGAGGTTTTTAGAAATGTAAATTAGGTTCCTGAAATTGGCGAAAATCGAAAACTATTTTTTCTTATTTTTAGTGATAAAATTTGGACTTACTTCACTTCGTTCTTCATTCACTTAGGAAGTAAGAAACTTTTTAAGAGTGCTTTTTTAACTTTCAGCGGTTTTTTCGATTTCGTGAAAAAAACATTTTTCGATACTCAGCGTCGACAACTTCAGGGATTTTGTAAATTTGATTAATTTCACCTGATTCAAAGTTCTCTCGTTCTAAATTTAAAAAATTAAGATTTTCAAAAATTTCAAATTCAAACCTTTTTAAAATTTAACAATGAATATTATTATACGAATATTATTATAAAACATGAACATATCGATCACTCCGAGTCTTCGATTTCTTCATGTTTTATAATAATTAAAGATGACAGAGTGATAATTAGAAAATAAAAATTTCAAATAATTTAAAAAACAATTCAATTAAACTTTTTCAAAAAATTAATTCCATCCGAGAAATTCTCTATGAAAAGTATGAAAAATTCCAATTTTCAAATATTTTAATTTGAAACTTTTCAAAATTCAATTATTTCTACAAATTCACGCTATAATGCTTTTAATATTCAATTTTTATATACAATTTTACCTGAAATTCATTATTAAATCAATTTTTATTAGAAAATTCTATGAGAATTTATCTAATAATTAAATGTTTCTTAAAATTGAATTTTCCTAAACAATAATTTTATCATCAAATTTTTAAATAATTGAATTCTTGCGACGAATTTTAATCCAACTTTTAAAAAATAATTACATTTTTCGAGGAATTCGACTAAAATTGTATTAAAAATAATTGAAATTCTGCGATGAGTTTTATTATTTATAAAAATAACCAAATTTCTAAAAATAATTTTTATTATTTATAAAAATAATTAATTTTAAAAAACATTCAACTAAACTTATTCAAAAAAATTAATTTCTACAGAAATGTTCGTTAAAAGTATGAAAAATTCAAACTTTCAAAGAGTTAATTTGAAACCTTCTCAAAATTCAATTATTTCTAAAAAAAATTATGGTATAATGCTTTTAATATTCAATTATTATTTACAATTTTACCTGAAATTAATTTTTAAATCAATTTTGATTAGAAAATTCTACTGTAATTTAATTATTTAAATACAAAAATAAATAATTTATTGAATAATTGAATGTTTCTTAAAATTGAATTCTTAAAATTCATAACAAATTTTATTAACAAATTTTTAAACAATTGAATTCTTTCGACGAATTTTAATAAAATTTTTAAGAATAATTATGCAGAAATTCAATTATTTTCAAAAATAATAAAAATTTCATAGTAATTCTATTATTTACAAATGTTATATAAATTTCTTTGAAATAATTCAATTATTTTTATAATAAAATTTTTTTACAGGGATTTAATTATTTTCATAGATAATAAAATTCTTTTTACAAATTCCATTATTTTTTAAATGATAAAATTCTACGTAAAAAGTATTCACAAATTTGTATAAAATTCTTTACAAAGAAAGAATTATTTTTAAAAACTATAAATAAATAAATAAATTCTTCTCAGAAATTCAATTATGTTCAAAAATTTATAAAAGTTTTGTCAAAATTTCAATTATCTTTATGTTTATTATTTTTAAAAAATTTAATATAAATCTTTGATCTTAATTTAATTTTCATTAGAAAAATATACGAGAATTCAATTACTTAAATACAGAAATAAATAAATTATTGAATAATTGAATGTTTCTTAAAATTGAATTCTTAAAATTCATAAAAAAATTTTAAATAATTGAATTCTTTCGACGAATTTTAATAAAATTTTTAAGAATAATTAAATTTTTCGAGTAATTCGATTAAGTTTGTACTTAAAGTAATTAAAATTCTTCGATGAGTATTTATGAAAATAATTGAATTCCTAAAAAGAATTATTACCCATTTACGAAAATAATTGAATCCCTGTAAAAAATTATATTATTTATGAAAATAATTGAATTATTGCGAATAAATTTATAAAAAGTTTGTAAATATAATTGAATTCCTGTGTAATATTTATTATTTATGAAATTAGTTAAATGTCTGCGTAGAATTTTATTAAAATTTTCTTTTAATAATTGAATTCTTTTGGAAAATTTTATTAAAATAGTAGGTATTGAAAACAATTTAATTCTTTCAAAGAAAATTAACATGTTTTCGAGATATTTCGTTGAAATTGTATTAAAAATTTTTAAATAATTGAATTCTTATGAAGAATTTTTATTCAATTTTTTAAAAATAATTGAATCCTTTTGGGGAATTTGAATTAAATTGTATTGAAACTAATTAAATTTCTGTGAAGAATTATATAATTATTAATTAATGAAAATAATTGAATTTTTGCAAAGAAATTTATTAAAAATTTATAAATAAATGAATTCTTGTGAAATTTTTATCATCTATGAAAATGATTAAATGTTTGCTTAGAATTTGGTTAAATTTTTTTGCAGTATAATTGATTTCTTTTAAAAAACTTTATTAAATTGTAATTATTGTATACCATTGAATTGAGGAAAGTTTTTGAAAATAATTGAAATTTTATCAAGATTTATATAAAAATTTTTGAAAATAATTGAATTTTGGAGAAGAATTTTATTATTTATAAAGATAATTAAAATTTTGACGAGAATTTTATTAAATTTGTGAACATAATTGAATTTATGCGTAAAATTTTGTTACTTTTGAAAATTTGTTTGAAAAAATTTTTCATAAATCTAACTTCTTTAGAATTTATAATTAAATTCAGTCAAAATTAAAATTTTATAAAATTTCAAATTGAAACCTTTTGAAGTTAATCTATTTATGTAAATTGTAAATGCAACTTTTTTAAAATTGAATTAATTTTGGTAAAATTATTCATTAAATAACTTATAAGTAATAATTTTATGATAGTTTTTTATGATAGTTCTTTAAGAATTAAGTTATTTAAAAAGAAATTATTGTTAGAAATAGAAAAAATTGAAAGGTTTGTTTTAGAATTCGATGTAATTTCATATTTTATGGGTCAAACAAAAAAGACACGAAAATTCAGAATTTTCTTATAAATTCCAAAAATTTAATTTTTTCCAGTACTTTTAATAAAAATCCCTAATTTTTCCTTGATTTCTCTGACCAATCCAACATTTCCTGACTTTTTCCTGACGCTGTGTCAACCCTGATTTTAATTATTTAAAAATTTCAAATACATAGTTGAGAAAAGGGGAAAGTGTTAGTTGTTGTTTTTGGTGTTATAACATTATGGTATATTAGTGAAATATGGATATTTTGTTACAAAGATATATATAGACTTTGAAAACTTCTACATAGAATCGATTACAAACCAGCAATGTTTGCACGTAACACACTCTTAATGTTCTAAGATCAATTTCATGTAGTTAATGGCATTGGAGTTTCATCTTCATTGGATTTCGAGATTACAACTTCTCACCCCATATACTCAATCTTTTATATTTTATACTCTCTCTATATATAAATTTATATAAAATGTAATCTGATGAAAGGAAGCTGAAATATAATGTGTATGCTTTACTTATTCTTTCCTATTATATCTTTTATATTACATGTGAGGGAATAAGTTATCTCATGTAAACCCTTTTTTTTTGCATTGAATCAGTATTTTCCATTTTGTTGTTTGGTGGTGTATACATATACATATATATATATATATACAGAGAAGATACGGATTTTATGACCAAATTGAATTTCACATCAAAACCGATATATAGTGTCGAGTCATATGCATCACTGAATAAGCCACACGGCCAGTTTTTACACTCTCAACACATTTTAATTTATTTTCCTTCCTTTTTTTCCCCCAGAATATCTTTTTGTTTATAAAACTGATGTAAATCAAATTTTTAAATTAAAAATTTTTTCCTGTCGTAGTAATCTTAGTGCTGAAATAAATTTCAGTTTTTTGCTTCAGTTTTTTGCATAAATTATTTTGTATTTATTTTGAGAAAATTTCTTTCTCGTCTGATACGAAAGTCACAAAAAAAATATTTGAGTATTTTTTATGTCCCTGAAGTTAGTGTTGATTTTTAGAGACGAAAATATCACTAAATTCACCTTGTTTATTCAATTTTCTGAGTAATTTTTTACATTGAAATGTGCAGAAATTGTTTTTTGCAAAACAAAAAGAAAGATTTTTTTACGCTTAGCGTAGACGCCAATTTTTTTTGTCGACAATAACTCACCTTCATATTTTCCATTATTAACAAGAAGTGAATTATTCGATTTTCTTGATGAGTTCCGTGACATTTGACTGTGACTCGGACTGCTTTCTGTACTTTTCTTCTCAAGTACGTCATGACAACTGTATGATGTGTGAGCGACTGTTAATGTTGGATGAACACTTCCTGAAATTAAATAAGAATTTTCTTCAGTTTCCCAATTTTCTCGTATTTAACATCAAGTGTAATTAAATTCCACGTATTTGATCGAAATTCCAATTTAGAAAGAAATTTTCCTTCTGAAAACTCAAAAAAAATTTACCGTCGCGGAGAACCGAACCCCGGACCTTGCTGCTTTTACGAGTCCAGTAGTGCAACCACTGAGCTATCTCACTCCGCATTTAGTTTCATAAATATTGTTTTCTAAATGTTTTTAAATTCTAATAAGAAAATAATTCGCAAATCTTTTTGTTTAATTCTATATGTATATACTAGAACTGAATAGAATTAAAAAGAGAATAGTCTTATTAAATGGAGTACAATTTAATAAATATTCATATCAGGATCTGCATATTAATTTAAATTTATGGTCATTCTCTTCTCGATAATATTGGAATTGCTATATTGGCGATAATGGAGGTAATAAAGTGTCCAGGGTCGATTACAAATGCGAGTTTTATGAGATCACAAGGGTATCTTTAACGAACGTCAATTTATTTTTTCTTTTTTTGAAAAATAAAGGAAAGAATTTTTTTCCCCCTTTTTTATACGTCTCAATTTTCCTTCTAACGATCAAAGCGATGAAACTAAACATTTTTGCTTTGTGAATCTAATTTTTATTTTGTAAAAAAAGAGATGTGAATTTATAATGGTAAAAAGCTTCTTCGACAATTTAAAGTGACTATTAATCGATAATAGTTGTTGTTTTTCGACAAAAAATAATTAATTATTAACGCATCGAGTATCAAAAATGTTAGGTGGCTAGTGGAATTTTTGTTTGTCGTGTTTGACGTTTATGTAGTCAATTAAGTCAAATTTCCGTTAAAATCGCGAGGGTTATTGTGATAAAGTTTGATACGCATTTTCGAACGAAATTAGATGGAAATATAATAAAATTAGGTAGATAATTACGGTTTTGTAATTTTGGTTTATTTGTAATTTCAGTCGGTAGTTGGTTTCTATGTGTAAAGGGTCGTTAATGTGAAAGCTGGTAAAAGCTTTAATAGAAATGCTTTCCAATTTCCAAATAACAGATATAATTTTCAGTGCTCGAACCAGTGAAAGGATTTAAAAATACGGACTTTACGGACCGAAAATAAAAAATTACGGACCAATTGCTGACAAAAGTATAACCAGTCCGAGTCAAATAAGTCATTTTCATAAGTGATAAACTTCTTCGCATAAATTTAATTATGTTAAAACATTGTTAAAAATTCTCGTTAAAATTTCAATTATCATTATAAATAATAAACTTCTTCTCCGAAATTAAATTATTTTTAAAAAATTTAATAAAATTCTTGGCATAATTTCAATTATTTTCAAAAATTTTCCTCATTTTAATTATTCGTAATTATCTATTATTTTAATAAAATTTTCCAAAAGAATTCAATTATTTAAACAAAATATTAATAAAGATTTCACAGGAATTCAATTACTTATCAATTTTTTATAAATTTCTTCACACCAATTCAATTATTTTTAATTTTTAAATGATTTTTCTCGAACAAATTCAAATATATTCAGAAAATTTTAAAGAAATAGTTCTGAGATATTCAATTATTCCGAAAAATTTAAATAAACTTTTTTTAAAAATTCTATTATTTAAAAAAATTTTGACAAAATTTCATTATAAGATTTATAGTTTATAAAATTGCAATTTTAATAAAATTTTCCTATATAATTCAATTATTTTCAGTACAATTCTTCTTAAGAATTCAATTATTTTTATAAATGTGACGCGTTCCCAAGAAAGGTACCTAAGAAGGAAAAAATTTGAGGTTATGTTTTAAATTTTTTGAGTAAAAATACAGAAAGAGAATCAATTATTAATTAAAAATTGTTGGTTTTCAAGTTTTCATTATATTCAAAATATTCAATTAATATTGGTTTAAAATTCAAATAATTAAAAATGAACTTTTAATCAAGATAAATCTAACTCGAACCCAACCTATAATTCTTTTGCTTCTTAGGTACCTTTCTTCGGGTCGCGTCACAAATAACAAAACTTATCGCAGAATTTCAATTATTTTTTGTAAAATTTTAAATAAAATGATAGAAAATTGCATTTATTCTTAAAATTTTTTTAAAAATTTGCCACAAAAATTCAATTGTTTTTAAAAATTTTTGATAAAATTCTTCATAAAAATTCCATTTTAAGAAATATTCAATTATTTAATAAATTATTTATTTTTGTATTTAAATAATTGAATTCTCGGAAAATTTTCTAATAAAAATTGATTAAAAAATGAATTTCACCTAAAATTTTAAATTATAAATGAATATTAAAAGCATATTATAGCGTGAATTACATATTTCAAGAAATTTGTTTAAAATAGTATTGAAAATAATTGAAATTCTGCAATAATTTTCAACTTCTCGAAAATTATATATTTTTTTTTAGTTTTTTTAAAGTAAAATTCTTCTATAAACCCTTTGTTTTTAATAATTTTGGAAAAAAGTTTTTTGAGAATTTTCAAATTCATTAGTTTACAATTCAATTTTACAAAATTTCAATTATTTGGAAATTCTTCAATTAAATATGTTCGAAAAAAAAATTTCGAAAAAAATCTGCAATTAAACTTTTTTAAAAAAATTAATTCTACTGAATTGTTAGTTAAAAATATGAAAAATTCCGATTTTTAAAGATTTTAATTTAAAACCTTTTCATAATTCAATTATTTCGAAAAATTTACGCTATAATGCTTATAGAATTCAATTATAATCTAAAATTTAACTTGAAATTCATTTTTAAATAAATTTTTATTAAAAAATTCTACTAGAATTCAATTATTTAAATATAAAAAAATAATTTATTGAATAATAATTGAATGTTTCTTAAAATTCAATTCTGATAAAAAATTTTATCAACAAATTTTTAAATAATTGAATTCTTTTGACGAATTTTAATAAAAGTTTTAAGAATAATTAGATTGTTCGAGGAATTGGATTAAAATTGTATATTAAAAATAATGGAAATTCTGCAATGAGAGTTTTATTATTTATGAAAATTATTGAATTGCTAAAATGAATTTTATTATTTATACATACCAAAATAATTGAATTCCTGTAAAAATTTTATTATTTATGAAAATAATTGAATTATTGTGAAGAAATTTATAGAAATTTTGAAAAATAATAATTGAATTCCTGTGAAATTTTTATTATTTTATGAAAATAATGAAATGTTTGCCAAGAATTTTATTAAAATTTTTTAAAATATTTAAATTTCAGAGAAGAATTTTATTATTTCTGAAGATAATTGAAATTTTGAGGAGAATTATTTTTAATTTTTGAATATAGTTGAATTTCTGCGAAGAATTTTATTACTTTTGCCAATAATTGAATTTCTGCAATCATTTGTAATTTCTTTAAAATTCTCCAAATTATATCGTACGATTATTTACAAACTTTTCTTGCTTTTTCAATCAAATTACGGACTTTACGGACCTTCTTTAAAAAAACTGACTTTTACTGGCTTGAAGCATATATATTTACGGACCTTTACGGACCTAGTTTTTTTTTTTTTTTTTTTTTTTTTTTTTCTTAAATGACTTGAGGCTTGGCCAAGTGTCAGAACACACACTCTTATATACCAACTTGATTTTTGCGTTTCTACAGAACGACTTTGAGGTTAGGAGTACTCGCATTTGCCTGGACCACCCGTCTAAATGGGTTTTCTCGCCAGTGGAGAGGGAAACTGTAGAAAACCTCTCCGAGTACAACCGGTTTATCGACAGTCGAATTCTAATGGTGTGTACCGGACAATAACGTAACTGCGCATGCGTTTTTTTTGTAATGTACAGTAGACTGCAAGAATGCCTCCCCTCTGGGAATTTCACATATTTGGTCGATTTCTTTACTGTTTATACTTCGTGACAATTAAAAAACGAAATTTCGAACGTAACTGCGATCCACAATTGTTTTATTCTCTATAAAAAAAAAAAAGTAGAATGTAAATAACCATTATGAAACAGTACTTACGGAAAATACTCTTGCAATCTACTGCATGTTTTTGTGAAAAGGTCTCTGTACCTGTTCTCGTTCTTGATGAGACTTCACTGTCATTTCTATGATGACCGAGTGCTTGAAGTTTTTCCGTTAAACCATGAATTTTATCAGCAAACGATGAGCCGTGACTTTCGATAGATGTCCCACCAGGTAATCCGGTGCTATTCACGTTACTGGTGGATGTGGTGTGTGACGTAATTGCCGCACACGCCGTCGTGGAAGACAATACTGCCATTTCCTAAAACGAAAATCAGAAAACAGTTTTGTGTAATTAATTTTCTTCTTTCTCTACTTTTTTTTTTTTTACTAATAAATCCTTTTAAAATTTTGGAAGCAAATTTCTCACCTTGAAGGCTTTTCCGTCAATTCCCCGTTGACCCTTCTTGAGAAATGATAGAAAAAGATGTCGGGAAAGTTCATCGGGTGTTGTAACCTCGAGATACGTGTCGAGAAATTTTCGAAATCCTTCATAGTCGATATCCTGAAAGGAAAAATAGATTTTCTATCAGAGAAATGATTTTTAGTAAAAAAAAAAGAATAATAATAATTTCCTCAGGAGCAAATTCGAAGTGTTTGGAGAAATTGAATTTCGCGCGGTTTATATTTTCCTTTTTTAAAGTAGCCACATCTGTGGGATTCACAAGGATAGGATTTATCGCCAAGTCAGAGTGTACAAGGATTTCCACAGGAAAATCAGGGAAAAGTCAGGTATTTTTATTAAAAGTGCACTTTAAAAATGTTGAATTTTGGAGAAGTTATACAGTCGGGCCGCAGAACTGTACGGTACCCCAGAAATAACCCCTCCACTTGATTTCAAACTGTACGCTGACGAACTCATCCCCACTATTTAATTTTCAGGACTGTACACTTATATATTTAAGGAGCAAGTTTTCAAAAGTTGATAAATATATTTTTTTTTAAATCGAGATAAACATAAATTTAATAATTTAAATATCTCACAAATCGTCATGTCCCTGCTAAATTAAAAAAAAAAAATTATTAACAGCGAATTTTCAATTTAAAAACTTTTTGACATAACCAAATTGACTTTTAATTTTTATGTTTGTTATTAGAACAAATTACCAAAACCTTAAAGTTACTTTATTATGTGAAAGTTTTATTAAAAACAGAACGTATTAAATATAAAAACTTTGTTACAAATATTAAATATTACAAATTTTTTAGTTTGAAATTAACTGAGTGGTTATGTCAGGAAAGTCATTTATTTCGATTTCTCGAAATAATAAGAAAATAGGAATTTATCAAATTTTGAAAATTTGCTCCTCATTTATCGTCTGGGACTATAATATACATAATTTTAGATTTAAAATTAATTGAAATCATAAAAATATATACTATTCTTAAAATTATAAATGTTAGAAAAATTAACAATTTTTAACCAAAACGTATTGCCTCATAAAATTAAAAGAAGTCCACTGATTTATCCAAATTATGAAAAAGAAAATAATTTGATTAAATCAGTAAAATTTTTAATTTTAAGGAAGAATTTGATAAACAATCGGAACAAAAGTTAGTCCAATGTCATAATTTAGTATTTTAAAAAAAAGTCAAATTAAATTTTCAATTCCTTTTGGTAAAAGCGTAAGGAATTTAATTTTCTAAATTTTGAAAATTTTAAATATATATTTGAATAAAAATGATAATTTTGTCGTCAATAATGAATGATTTAAGTAACATAACCTAAAATTTAACAAATGTTTATTCTTATTGACAGAAAATTGTAATTTTTATTCAAATGAAACTTTTAATCGTTTTAAATATACAAAATTAAATTCTTCGTCTTTCCAACAAGACGAATTTAAAATTTAATTAGTTTTTTTAAATTACGAAATTATGACATTGGAATAACTTTTTATTTGACTGTCCCTCAGATTCTTCCTTAAAAGGCAACATTTTCAAATATACGGCACTGAATTTAGTAGCGCCACCGTACACTGTGGAGCACTTAAAAACTAAAGCCAGCGTACAGTTTGGCGACAGCGTACAGTTTGAAAGCGTTCAGTTCGGAGGCCCGACTGTAAATAGTTTTAGAAATTCCATTTTTTTCAAAGGTAATAAAATGCTTCGAAAAATTCAATTACTTTCAAGAATATATTGTCCTCAATTTAATGATTTTCAATATCTAGTATTTTAGAAAAATGTTCCAAAATAATTCAATTATTTAGATACCATTTTTTAATAAAATTCTACACCAACATTTAAATATTTTAATGAATAAAATAAAAATTTCACAGGAAATCAATTATTTACACATTTTTTATAAATGTCTTCGCAGTAATTTAATTATTTTTATAATATAACAAACTTTTTTTTACAGATATTCAATTATTTCCAAAGATAATAAAACTCCTCAATGAATTTAAATTATTTTTAATATAATATTAATCATATTTCTCGAAATATGCAATTATTTTAAATATTTTTATTAAAAATCGAATAATGGATTTACAAGAATCTGATTTGAAAACACTAAAGAAATTGAATTTTGGAGAAGTTAAAAATATTTATAGAAATTCCATTTTTTTCAAAGGTAATAAAATGCTTCGAAAAATTCAATTATGTTAAAATTTTTTTAAAAATTCTTGTCAAAATTTCAAATATCTTTATAAATAATAAAAATCATCGCAGAATTACAATTATTTTTCATACAATTTTAAATGAATTCCTCGAAAAATGTAATTATTCTTAAAATTTAATTTCAATTCCTCGAAAAAATCAATTATTTAAAAATATGTTTGTTTAAAATGCTTTGAAAGAATATAATTATTTACAAAAATATTAGAATTTTCCACAGGAATTCAATTATTTTAAAATATTTTAATAAAATTGTTCGAAATACAAAATTTTTGAAATAATTTAATTATTCGTTCAGATTTTAATAAAATTTTTCCCAAGAATTCAATTATTTACATAAATAATTTTTCGAAAGAATTCAATTATATCGATAAATAACAAAATTATTCCCGAAAATTCAATTATTTTGAGGCATTTTAATAAAATTCTTTGCAAAATTCAATTATTTTCATAAATCACAATATTCATCACAAAAATTCAATTATTTTTAAAAGTCATAAATTTTTTATTGGAAATTCAATTATTTTAAAAAATTTTATAATAAAATCGTTCGCAAGAATTAAATTATTTACAAATTTTTTTATAAATTTCTTCGCAATCATTCAACTGTTTTCATAAATAATAACAATTTTTGCAAAGATTCAATTATTTTTATAAATAATAAAATTCTATTTAGGAATTCAATTATTTTTACAAATAATAAAACTCATCGCAGAATTTAAATTATTTTTTATTCAATTTTAATTGAATTTCTCGAAAAATGTAATTATTCTTAAAAATTTAATTAAAATTCGTCGTAAGTGTTCATTTTTAAGAAACAGTCAATTATTCAAAAAATGAATTAGTTTTTTATTTAAATAATTGAATTTTCGTAGAATTTTCTATTAAAAGTTAATTTAAAAATAAATTTTATTTAAAATTTCAAATAATAATAATTGAATGTTAGAAGCATTATAGCGTGAATTTTTAGAATTAATTGAATTTTTAAATTAAAAGGTTAGAAATTAACATCTTTAAAAATTTGAATTTTTCTTCTTTTTAACAAACAATTCTGTAGAATTAATTTTTGAGGTAATTTTTTTGAAAAAAAAGTTTAATTGATTTTTATAAAATAATTTGATATTTTTATTTTCTAATACATTTAATTGAAGAATTTTCGAATAATCGGAATTTTGTAAAATCGAATTGTAAACAAATGGATTCGAAAATTCTCAAAGAACTTTTTCAAAAATTATTAAAAATAATAATTGATTTAAGGAAGAGTTTAAGGTTAAAAATTCTAGAAAATAATAATTGAATTGAAATAATGAAAACAATTTTAAAGAAGTTACAGGAACAAAATTTTTATAATATGATGAAGAAATTTCAAAACTTTGAAATAACGATTTTATTAATTAAGGAAATGTTAAAATGATCGAATAATAATGATTTTATCACTCGGTCATCTTTAATTATTATAAAACAGGAAGAAATCGATTACTCCGAGTCAAAGACTCGGAGTGATCTATATCTTCATGTTTTATAATAATATTCACTTATAAGTTGTTTAATTTCAAAAAAAGGTTTGTGTTTGAAATTTTTCAAAATCTTAATTCTTATCGAAAAAATAATAACGATTAAATATTTATTTAAAAATGAAGTTATTGGTGTTTTGGAATAATTTTACAATTGAAGAAATTCGTAAATAAATGTAATAGAACATTTGAGTACATCTAAATATTTTTCAAGTGAATCAGAATATTCTGTAGGGTCAGGGAAAAGTCAAAATTTTGTCTGAAAATCAGGGAAAAGTCAGGAAAAAAACAAAATTACATTTTTGTGATAACCCTGTGTACCTAACGTCCCTTCTTTTTTCTCTCTCTAGAGACGCATGCGCATAAGCCAATGTTTCAACTAAAACGCATCAGTTCGCATGCGTTAGGAAGCGCAAAGACAAAAAGGGGGGATGTTAAGTCAAATAGTTGATTTTAGAGTTTAAAACTCAGATTTTAGACGTCAGTGAAACTGTTTGACAAACATTTATATAAATCCCAAAAATGACGTAGTCAAATATAACAAAGAGTAAATCCTGATTCTCTTTCTCACTGTTGTCGTCGTCGTCGTCGTCCTGAGAAAAGAATACTTTTGTGTTACATTTAACAATGATATCATGGTTTCTATTTTCCCAATGCGCATACGAATTGAAACGTGCTTGGAAGCAGAGGGAGCAATTTACTGTTCGCAAATGGTGGTCTTAAACATCTGAAACTTGAATTGTTGAAACAAAGTTTCTTTTGTGTTTCCCACAAGTTGACACATTTCGTACAAGATCTTGGAAAATAGTTTAACTCGACACTTTTATTGAAGAATTCTCTAAAGGCCTCAAAATGTATATTATATATAAACGTACAAATTCAAGAGGATCAACTTCCCATTATAACTTTGTACAATTTAGTATGGTTACACGCTTTTACCTTTTACTGTTATAACAAACTTTAAACTCTATACAAACTTAAATCTAAGTTTTCTTACACTGAAGTGAATTTATTATATCGGGAATAAGGACCGCGTTTTAATACAAGGGAGAGAGAAAAAATTTTCATATCCAAGTTAAACGAAAGATTTATTCAAATATAATTTTCAAGTTTGGTGTATATTCTCTCTTATCGCTATAGTTCCTTCTCTCGTCATGTATTAATTATCAGCTGATTATAACTTGGCGGGGTGGAAATTGGAATTTTATGGTCGTGTAGAATTTGGAAATCTTGGTAACAACCTTTAATTTTTTTTTGCCTGTTAGGTACTCTTCTTCAGAACGCGACATATACTTTAATTTAAAGAGGAACTTATGAATATTTTCTAAAACTTATTTGACATAATAACTATTATGTCAAATAAGTTTTAATAAATCTAATGAAACAACATTTAACATAATTTTTATTTGATACAAAATTCATTTGACATAAATATTATTTGACATGAAATTCATTTGGTACAAATTTCATTTCACTTAAAATTCATTTGACCTTAGCATAAATTTTTTTAACATTGAATTAATTTGACATAAAAGTCTTTTTATAATTTTCATTTGACGCAAACTTTACTTGACGAAAATTTCATTTGACATCATAAACACTTGACATTTATTTCATTTGACATAAATTTTATTTCACATACCATTCATTTGACTTCAGCAAAAATTTTTTTTGACATTGAATTCATTTGACATAAAAATATCTGAATTTTAAAGTAATCAATCAGGTATTGTCAAGAAAATTGTGATTGGATAATTTTAAAATTAGCCCCCACTTTTTATGTCAAAGAATCGTTATGTCAAATGAAATTTATGTCAAGTGAATTTTACGTCAAATGAAAATTATGTTAAATGACTTTTATGTCAAGCGAATTTTATATCAAATTAAATTTATGTCAAATGAATTTTATCTAAAATGAAATTTATACTAAATAAAATTGATCTCTGATGAGTTTTATGTAAAACGAAATTTATGTTAAATGAATTTTATGTCAAATAAAATTTATATCAAGTGAATTTTATCTCAAATAACATTTATGTCAAATAAGTTTTCTTTACAGTGGATTTTATGTCAAATGAAATTAATATCAATCAAAATTTCTGGCAAGTTACTTTTATGTCTAGTTAATTTTGTGTCAAATGTTAATTATGTTAAATGTGTTTTATTTCAAAGGAATTTTTATGTTAAATGAAATTTATATCCAGTGATATTTATGTCAAATGTTAATTATGTCAAATTAATCTTTATGTTAAATGGTTTTATGTAAAATAAGACATGGAGAATTTTCACGCGACCTTTTAAAACAACAGATAAAATTTGTACAGTTTGGAAAATATTGTGTGACTGCAAATTCACCGTTAAAATTATTTAAAGAGTTTTTAAATATGTACTCGAAATTTATCGTTTTCAGTTTTATTATTTCTCGGTGAAAAGAAAAATATACCCTATTTAAATGCCGCAGGCAAATAAAGTTGATTATTATTTTATTTTTTCAGTGAGTATCCTATATATAAAACTTGTCCACAGCTTGACTTTTCGTTTAACTATATACTTTTTTTTAAACTCAATGTGTTTTATGTATTATTCTATATACACAAAAACCGTTGACTAAAGTTATTCTGGAAAGCTATTTGGATGGAAAATACGCGAGGGAATGTGTGTGCAAACAAAAAAAAAAAGTTTCCCTTAAAATCGAGTTTTTTATCCCCTGTGTGTCTGACCAAACTTAACTATTTTCACTAACAAAATATTCATTTGTCAGGATCTATTATTTAAAATAGTTTGTTTCGAGGTTTTTTTCTATTCCACTCTCTATATTCCGTTATTTGATTATAAATATTTGAAAATTGGTAAATAGGAGAGAAATTGCTGTTACGAAAATTACTGTTGTGCATATTGTAGAGCGCATTCGAAAACAAATGTGGAAAATGTTAAAATGTAAAATTTATTTTTTCTGGAAAATTTTTATGTAAAGTTGTGCGATATATTTTGCAGACATAACAGGCCAAGAGAGTAAGAAGATTTTTCATTTGTCTTTAGGTGGGGCAGAGAATGCAGTAATTTTTGATGAAATTTTCACTTTGAAATTCTTTTCAACTTAAATCCGGAGTAGAAAAAAGATATATTTTACTCAGAATTTAGTAAATTCTTTATTTGTTTCAAATAAATTTTTATTTTGCTTAATTAAAAATTTTATTTGTGTGGAATAAAATTTTTATTTAAAACAATTAAATATTTTAATAGTTTCTGAGATAAATATACTTTTAGAGAAAATAATACAAAATTATTATGAATTTTTTTTTCCAAAAATTATTAATTGCTTTGGTTATCGATCAATCAAATATATTTTTATTTAAGTCAAGTAAATTATGTTTCATTCGAAAAAAATGTTTCTTTATTTTATTATTTTATTATTTATTATTTTATTATTTTTTTATTTTATTATTCTTTATTTATTCAAGTTAGTACTATTGTTTGCATTTGGTATTATTATTAATTATTTTGTAATAAAAAGGTCTTTTTATTATTAAAAAATAATTAAAAAACGGTTTTAACAAACAGCAAGTATTATTATTTTTTTTAAATATTATTGATACTCTTTAATTATTATTATTACTATTACAGGGTTTTTATTTTAATTAAATTTTTATTAAAAGAACAGGAAAAAATTAAATTTTTAGAATTTATAAGAAAATTCCGAATTTTGGTGTATTTTTTGTTTGCCTCATAAAATTACAGAAATTCAATTATTTTCGAAAGTGATAAACTTCTTCGCATAAATTCAATTATGTTCAAAAATTTTTAAAAATTCTCGTTAAAATTTCAATTATCTTTATAAATAATTAAATTCTTCTCCAAAATTCAATTATTTTCAAAAAATTTAATAGAATTCTTGCCAAAATTTCAATTATTTTCAAAAATTTTACTCATTTTAATTATTTGTAGGTAATATCTACTATTTTGATAAAATTTTCCAAAATAATTCAATTATTTAAACAAAATTTTAATAAAGATTTCACAGGAATTCAATTACTTATCAAATTTTTTATAAATTTCTTCGCACCAATTCAATTATTTTTAATTTTTAAATGAAGTTTCTCAAAGGAATTCAAATATATTCAGAAAATTTAAAAAAAAATAGTTCTGAGAAATACAATTATTCCGAAAAAATTAATTAAACTTCTTTTAAAAATTCTTTTATAATTAAAAAAAATGTTGACAAAATTTCTTTATAAGATTTAGTTAATAAAATTGGCAATTTTAATAAAATTTTCCTATATAATTCAATTATTTTCAATATAATTCTTCTTAAGAATTCAATTATTTCACAAATAATACATTTTAATGGGAATTCAATTATTTAAAAAGATTTGAATAAAATTCTTCACAAGAAATTAATTATTTTCATAAATAATAATATTTTTCTCCGGAATTCAATTATTTTCAGAAATAAAATTCTTTACAGGAATTCAATTCTTTAAAAAATGTTTTAATAAAATTCGTTGCAAGAATTCAATTATTTTTATAAATAAGAAAACTTACCGCAGAATTTCAATCATTTTTTATAAATTTTAAATAAAATGATAGAAAATTGCATTTATTCGTAAATTTTTTTTAAAAATTCGCCGAAAGAATTCAATTAGTTTAACAATTTTTTGATTAAATTCTTCATAAAAATTCAATTTCAAGAAATATTCAATTATTTAATAAATTATTTATTTTTGTATTTAAATAATTGAATTCTCGAAAAATTTTCTAATAAAAATTGATTAAAAAATGAAATTCACTTCAAATTTTAAATTTATTATAAATGAATATTAAAAGCATTAGAGCGTGAATTTTTAGAAATAATTGAATATTGAAAAGGGTTCAACTTAAAATCTTTGAAAATTTGAATTTATAGTTACAATATTCTGATGATATAAAATAATGATTTTATCACTCTGGCATCTTAAATTTCTTCATGTTTTATAATATTATTTTCAAAAGTTATTGAATTTCAGAAGGTTTGAATTTGAAAATTTTAATTCCTATAGAAAAATAATAGGTAATGATTAAATATTTATTAAAAAAGGAAGTTATTGATGTTTTTGAATAATTTTACAATTAAAGAAATTCATAAATAAATGTAATACATTTTTTTGAAAATCTAATAATTTTTGGAGTGAATCAGAATAATCTTCAGGATCAGGGAAAAAGTCAAAATTTTTTCTGAAATTTAGGGAAAAAGAAAATTAAATTTTTGTAGTAACTCTGTATTATTATTATTATTTTTCTTTGTTAGTTTTATTATTTTTGTTACTTTTATTATTTTTACTATTTTTATTGTTACTATATAATTATTGACACTTAATTGTAATGTTTACTAAAATTTTTCTTATTGGTGAAAAACATTTTATTAAATTTTGATTTTCTCAATATTTTATATTTATATTGGAAAATAATTGTATGTATAATACAGTGATAGAGAACAAAGGGGAATTTTCGTGTGCATTTTATATGTAGTTATAAATTTTTTATATATGCAGTAAAGGGATTCTCTCATGTGTACTTCGTAACCGCAAATCGAAAAAACGGATTTATTTCAAATTTTCAGAAATGAACTACCCGTACGATTGGCTTTAGTTTCGAGGTTTTACTCTCTCGTGATAGTAAATTGGAAATAGTACATAGCTCAATTCGTCCCATCCATAAAAAATTTATCGTTATATACATATATATATTTGTTTTTATCGATTCTTTTTTTTATTGTATTCAGAAAACAGCAAATTGTATTTTAAACAGAAATTTGTAAAATTTAATTTTTTAAATGTATTTTTTATTTTTCAGTCGATATCCAAAGCTGAGGAAGTGAAGGATTAGGAAGGATATAAAAGGATAAAATTGGTCATTGCCCTTTCAAAACGCGTGGTTCATCGACCGGTGAGTTCTTATCTATTTCCAAATCTGGTTTAAGTGAGTTAATTTTGTATTGACGTTTTAAATTTAAATCAATAATTTATAGAGTGAGAATGATTTTTTTTTAAATGTCATTTTTAATTGTAAGAAAAATTTTATATTTATATCTGCGGTTCTATATTCACAATAAAGTAATTGTGAAGAACCCCTTAGGACCCCATCTGTCACATTTTGCCATTTTGACCTGCAGGGGTGAATTTATTTAAATAAATTTTTTCCAGAAAGAATAATTGAAAAATTTGGAAAAAACAAAAAAGCATGTTTTCTTCTTGCAATTTTTGAGACCTAAAAGTTAGAAATTTGGTACAGACTTCAGACATATGAATTTTTACGTGTAGAGTAAAGAGCTGAAATTTAGTAAACATTTTTTAAAATTTTCATGGCGATTACGCGAAAAAATATCGAATTCGTTTATCGTTTTTTTTAAATAACTTCAATTTTAATAATATGTGAACGTAACCCAAAAAATTGATATTAAAATTGAGTTACTTCTATCGAATGCCGGTACAAACAATTTTAATATTATCCTTGTTAGATATGTTACATACGAAACTAAAATAAAAGAGAAAATTTTTCCAATAAAGTATATATATCGAGATGAATTTGAAGAACCCAGAAACGAATGTCGTAGTATAGCTTTTGATCTTGTATAAAGATCAAATATATATAACTCATAGATATCTGATAAATTGAAAGAACTAGGATTGAATTGAAGGGAAAAAGTTTAAGAAATTAAATTTTATATGAATAGCCAAGATTCTTTGAACTCTGACATTGCCCTTTTAAAACGCTCAAAGGAAGCCATAAAAATGTTCTACTATATTAATTTCAATTTTCCTCTGAATTTTATTATTCTAATCAAATAGAGTACTATTATATTGCTATTAATATTTTTTTTATTTATATTAGTAAAATAATTATTGTTCTGTAAAAATTTTTATTAGTTCCCAGTAATTTTCACTGGAACTTAAGTAAAACATTAAAAAAGAACATTTAAATGAAATTAGTAAAAATTTCTACAATTTCCTAGTAATTTTCTGCTAAAACATGAAAAAAAAAGTTTTAAATTACTGAATAAAATTAGTACAAATTTCTAGTAATTATTAGTTGTTTTAAATAGGTATTTAAAAAACATTTTGAAACCATCAAATAAAATTAGTTCTAATTGCTATTAATTTCTAATAATTTTTCACTAAAACTTAAGTGAAAGGTTATAAAATATTTTAAATGAAATTAGTAAAAATTTCTGCTAATAATTAGCTTTACTAAAATTGGGGTGTACAAATTTTTATCTACTGAAGGAAATTAATAAAAAACGGTAAATATTTCTATTAATTTTTCCTAATTTTTTACTAAAACTTAAGACGTTAAGACAAGAGTATAAAAATAATAAATTAATTTAGTAAAAATGACTATTAATTCCTAGTATTTTTTTAGATAAAACTTGAGTGGAAAGTTTAAAACTACTAAATGAAATTACTAAAATACTGATTAGTAGTTAAAACTACGAAACGAAATTATTAAAAATTAGTTAAACTTTCTACTAGTTCCTAGTAACATTTTGCTAAAACTTAAATATAAATTTTTAAATTACTAAATACAGTTAGTAAATATTTATTCCATAATATTAGTTTTAATAAAACTGCAGAAGAAATTTTAAACTACTTAATAAAATTAGTGAAAATAGATAAAAAATTTTATTATCTCCTAGTAATTTTCCACTAGAACTTATGGTATAAATTTTTAACTATTAAATGAAATTAGTACAAATTTCTACTAATTTATTAGTTTCTTTAAAAATTTTGTTAAAGATTTTAAAACTATCAAATGAATTTAGTACAAGTTTTTACTAATTTCTAGTAATTTTTAGTTACAACTTGAATAGAATGTTCTGACTTATTACATAAAATTAGTAAAAATGTCTACTGATACTTAGCTTCAATAAAGTCGATAAACAAATTTTTTTAACCAATAAAGAAAATAAATAAAAATCGGTGAAAATATCTATTAATTTTTCACTAACAGAAGTCAACAGTAAAAAAATATTAAGTGAATTTATTGATAATTTCTACTAATTCCTAGTAATTTTTCCATAAAACTTGAGGAAAATGTTTAAAACTAATAAATGAATTTACTAAAAAAGTTGATACTAAAAGTTGGGTTTCACTAAAAGTTGTTCGAATAATTTAAAACTATGAAACGAAATTAGTAAAAAATGGTTAAAATTTCTACTAGTTCCTCGTAATTTTTTTGCTAAAACTTGAATAAAAAGTTTTAAATTACTGAATAAAATTAGTAAGTATTTATGCTGTTATTAATTTAACTAAAATTCATAAGAAATTTTAACTTTTTAATGAAATTAGTTGAAATCGTTAAGAATGTTTACTAATTCCTAGTAACTTTTCTATAAAACTTGAGTAAAAAGTTTATAACTAATAAATTTAATTACTAAGACTATTTATTTATTATTTATTATTAAGACTATTTATAAGTTTCACTAAAACTTGTTCGAAAAATTTATAACTACAAAAAAAAATTAGTAAAAATGGGTTAAAATTTCTATTAGTTCCTATTCCTAGTAATTTTTTGCTAAAACTTGAATAAAAAGTTTTTAATTACTGAATAAAGTTACTCTCTGAGTCTGAATTTGAATTAGTAAAAATGTTTATTAATTTGAATTAGTGACTGACTTTTTGCTTTTGAATTAATAAATTTGATTCACTAATTGATTCACTAATTAAAAAGTAAAAATTCAAATTTAGAGAGTAGTAAGTATTTATACTTTACAAAGTGAGAATATAACCTATTAAATTTTGTAAAAGTATTTTACAATTTGGGGAAAAAATGTAACAAAGTAAAATTTTTATACAGAAAATAGTAAACTTTAAAAAAACTTATGTGAAATTTAGTGAAGTTATATTAAAATTTAATTAATATTCTTGATATATATTTAATATAATTAAACTAAACTTTCACATAAGTTTTTTAAAGTTTAGTATTTTTTATATCAAAATTTTGCTTTGTAGCATTTTTCCCCAAATTGTAAAATACTTTTACAAAATTTAATATATATTCTATCTCCGTGTAATATTATTATTTATTACTTTTACTACAATTTGAAAAAAAAATTTAAATTACTTAATGAAATTAGTTGAAATCGATAAAAATTTCTATTGATTCCTAGTAAATTTCCACTAGAACCTAACTAATAAATTTTAAACAATTCAAAGAAACTAGTACAAATTTTTACTACTTCCAAGTCATTTTTTGCTAAAATATAAAGTGCGGTTTTGTTTTCCTATAATTAACTAGTAAATATTTTGCTAATTTTTGGTAGAAAACTAGAAATTTAACAGAAAATTATCTGTTAATTGAAAGAGGAACTAAATTTTCACTCTTTTAATTAATAGATATATTTTACTATAAAATTAGTAATTTCTATAATTAAATTATTTACTGGTTTTTCCTGAAATCGGACTGTCTGAAACAATGAGAATATAGTCAATGAAAATCGCAGTCAAATTTTACTGATTGCGTTTTAGAGATTAGGTTCAGTTCGTTAGGATTTATACATTAGATTACAATTACATATTTGATCTTCTTGAACTTTTTATTTTGTTTTAAAGAAAAAAAGTATACATTCTCACATTAACTTAAATAAAATTTCATTTCATAAAGAATTCAAAATTTAGATCACGAACTACAGTATTTTATGCGGCATATTCTGCGCGTCAAAATACCACATGCATAACGTTTGGTACGAATCTTCCATAAAATGTCCTTTCATATTGTATAGAATTTCTGAGGAATTATATATATATGTATATAGTATATACCTTATACACTGTCACATAGTCATTTGATTACATCATTAAACTAGATGAAGACCATTATCTACGTTTATATAGATTATGTAATGAACAATCGACAATATTAAGGTCTTGATATAAAAGCGTCTTCTTGTATCTTCATATAAATTAACAAAATAAACAATTTCGGTGTTAAATTTTGTTGACTGTATACTATCACTGGTAACATTTTAATTAATCATATTGTTCGGTCTAGACCCATATATTTCAACTTTACAATTGCTCTACTCAAACTTTATGTTCTCATTTATATGCAAACTGAGCTGGTGAAATAATTGCAAGAGCTGTGACTAGAAATTTCGTATTATAAATCTTCTTTTGCACGGATAAAAAAGGCAAACAAATAAATAAAAGAGCAGTCTTCATTTGTTTGGAAATTTTCGGGTTAAAAATATTTAGAACTGTGAAAACCGATTAAAACTGATGAATATGAATTTAACTATAAATTACTTATTTTTAAATAAAGTTGTAGAAGTATTATTATTTTGATTAGTGACTGAGATTTTTTGCAATTAAATTGGTTGGTTTTGACAAATTTCAATTTAAGAATCAAACATTTTTTAACAAAATATTTTTTGTTAAAAAAAAACCCATACATAATTATTATTATTTCCATTGACAACAAGTGAAACTGAACAAAATTGTTCCTCTTTTCTCCGACTTTTTTTTACTGTTATTTTAATAAATTTTTGAGATGAAAATTATTGATCACATCTATTTATTAGCTTTATAAACAATGTTAAATAATAATGTTAAACAACTTTTGTCTTTAAAATTCACTGCAGCAATAAAAATGTCGGTGGAAGAGGGAACTATTTTTCTTCAGCTTCACGGAGAAAAATATAAAGTAACTTTTACTACTTTTATAGTAAAAAATTTCCGGTAAAGCATTTCTGGTAATTTTTACTACTTTTGGAGTAAATTTTGCTACGTTCGAAGTAAATTGTACTAATTTTTACACATATGTACTTCGAACGTAGCAAAATTTACTCCAAAAGTAGTAAAAATTGCCAGAAATGCTTTATCAGAAATTTTTAACTATAAAAGTAGTAAAAGTTACTTTATATTTTTCTCCGTGTTCAATTGTTGTCAATT